GGGGGGGGAGGCAATGCCTGGATCACTCCTGGTTCAGTTCCCCATGTGAGTCTGCAAACTATTGCCCTAGGGTAATCCAAAGACTACTTAAGATGGCAATACCACCCAAGGGAAACAGTCAAGCAATTATGGCCTCAGCTAATTCTGCGAGGGAAGATGATGCTTGGTGATCATACCTGGTGTTTCATTCTCTCCTGGCTCTACGGTAAGTATACTTTGAACTGGATTAAACTTCATTGACACTTCTTACCTCCAGGGTGGACATCTATAAGGTGGATGGATGTATGCTTTAATTTCAAGCATCCATTTTAAGCATGATTTAAACAAGTAAAACATTAATCTTACATCTGAATTTAAAAGTGTTAAAAAAAAAAAACACACACATTCAAACAGAAACAAAAAAGCTCTTTACTAGCTCAGTTTCCTCAATACACACTAAATACCTCACGCTATAAATTTAACAAAACTTACTTTATTCAGAAATTTTACTAAAACGGAGTTTCATGGTATAGTTAATTAGATATTAAAAACAGCCAACCTACCCACCGGCTGTGAAATGCAAAGGGACATGTGTTCTCATTTTAAATAAGTACACACTGGAAAAGAAACAAGCTAAGTCAGGTATTTACTTTCATTCCTAAGTTCTTTAGAATTCTGAGGGTAACTATGTATTGATTTACTATGAATAAAATAACTAAAAACCCATATTCAATTTATCCAGAACAGTCTGCCATGACTTCAAGTTAAATATACTTTTTAAAAGTTAGCTAATTTAAATAGGATTTTTCCACTCTGGTAGCAATAGTCAAATTCCCTTTACATAACTATGAAGGTTAAATAACAGGTAATTCCAATCACAGATCAGAACATCACTGCCCAAAACAGATGCACGTGAAGACATTCAGGAACCGTAAGGCTTCCTTGCCTTACCAGTAAGGGTTATAAAAGAGCGCAGACAAACTAGAAATGGCAGCAAGAAACAGGTTTAAAAAGTTTGTTTCGAGAGAAAAGCCTCTAAGTAAAGAAAATCCACTACTTACCAGTCACTCCATTTGTTGTTAAAGAAATCATTTGAAGAGATATTTACAAACTGAATTGCAAAGAAAAAACTATAATTTTAAGAGACAGCTTGTGAACTTTGCTTAACTTTTAGCTTCCTTGTAGTAACCAGAACCTATTAACACAAGTGAAATAAGCAGGAAGTCTGATGAGAGAAAGGAAGCGACATGATGAAAGAACACAATGACAAGTAGTAATAGTACTTCCAACTTAAAGGTGAAGCAAGGTTTTTTAAGGTCCTCTAATACGAACTCAAGAACAGACCAGAAAACTTTCATCAGAAGGTTTAGAAAGCAGTTAATTAGAAAGCAGAAAATCTAAAACAGTGAGCATAACAATCCACCAGGTTTCTTTAAAGCTAGTTCTAACTGCAGAACACTAACAGTGAAGCAGGTCACCCCTCAGACTTACTGTATCTATCTTCCTAAAATACCTAGCACCATCCCTACTACCCTACTGCCAAAGCTGTGAACCTTGCATAGTACCTGAAACTGGACTTTGCTGGTTCCAAGTTAGAGACTGAATATTCAGCCCACTGAAGTCATCACAAAATTTGTGCTGACCTCAACATGGGCAGATTTCACAGCAAGTCTGGAAAGAAAGTTTCCTCGTCTGAACTTCAAGAGGCTGTCCCTGCCCTGATGAACTCCTTCTCAGTCCTTACTTATTTCTGAATTACATTCTGTATCAACATTGTTACACCAAGTTGTCGGCAAAAAGTTTTAGGACAGGCTTTACTGAAAGCTATTTGGAGTGAGGAAAAAAAACAAGGAGGAGACGCTCCTAAATAAGGATAGCTTCTATTAACAGCAAGCATGAATTACTGGCTAAAAGCATTATTGTATAACCCACACAATCCTCAACAAGTTTAAACCATTACAGTTTCTACATTCGCAGATGCAGCTTGTTATTAGCCAAGAAGGAAGATGAAACTTCATAACCATCTCATCAGTCAGCCAATCAGTCCAAACAATCACACCACAAAAGCAGCTGATGTTACTGAGAATTCAAAGCGAAAGCAACTAGGAGTAAAATATCTAGAGCAGCTATGCATTTTTTTTTCTTTCTCAACTGAGCAACACGAGCAACAGGAACAAAGATTCAGTGCTACCAGGCATGTGACACAAAATGCAATTGATAATACCGAGAACACGCATACACAGAGAGGAAAAGCTCATGGTTCACTATTTACCACTGTTAACACTGCAGTGCTTGTAGTATCATTGCTTTGATCACTACTTGAGCAGCAGTTTCTATTGCAAAAAATAGTTAAAATAGAGGTTTCGCATCTGCATTTCAGTTGCGATACTTTTCTCAAATTTCAGTGTCCAATAGAGTACGCACTACATGCAGATACCACACAAATTTAACAAAGTGCTCTAAATTGATTTGGCTGTGTCTAAAAAGAATCACTCCTGGACACACTTGAGATTTACAGCTATTCCATATTGCAGGTAAATTTACAGGTACAAGTTCATCTACCAAACAGCATTAAAGCAATGCTACCAAATACACTAAAACAATGATTTTGGAACAAACATCTCTACTAGTTTAAACTAGTCAAAAATCATTTTTATCCAAAATCAGTACATCTTCTGTGTGAAGATACGGCAAACAAACTGGCAGAAAGCATCTGACAAACCTAGAGGAAGCGGAAAAGAAAAGTCCCACGCTTTCATATCTTTGCATTTCCTGCCGTGTTTGTCAACTTTTAGCTTTCATAAGTAAGTCCTATTCATCTAAGTATACCAGACTAAATTACTGCTATAGCTACTAAATTCTACCAAAGCACACGGCACACTATCAGTTCCTCAGCCTAACCATCTCGAAGCTCAGTAAAACAAACTGGAGTATAGACAGCTGTAAAGAGTCCATTCAGGTGTATGAATACCCATCCTTCAGTTTACTCAAACATCTGTTTACATCCTCTCTTAAGATACCAGTAGTAGGTAAACTGCATAGCAACCTCAGCATGCAGAAGCACGTGCAGTAATTTGCCAAAGTAGCAACCTAATAAAGATATACTGATTTTTATCTGTTACAAATATTTCATGCTAAAAAGAGAGAAGCGCAAGGGGAAATATAAGCAGGGAAAAAAAAAAGTCACAGTCAAGAAGGGGATAAAGACGGAGGAAAAAAAATCCAACACGTCTTTCCTCCTTTCACCTCTGCACACAAAACCTCAAGAAATAAGTACTAGCGCCCGTGGGCGGAACAACCACCAGTTGGCACAAGTCGGATATTCAAGACGATTAGCCTCTTTAAGGACACTAGAAACGTTTAGTGCCTAATTCTACAGTAATAAGCATCTTTATATTTAACCTTTCCATTACAGTTTACTCTTAAACAAGCTGACACACCCTTATCAATGGCATACCATCCAGATGTAATTAAGCCAATCAATTGGAAAGTCATGCCATATAAAAATGAGCCTCAGCCTCGGCACACGTGTTTCAAGAGCACAGCCATCTGCGCAAAGCACTCTAGTCCAACACGTTTCCCTCTTGCCTCAGACAACACAGGCAACAAAATCAGCTTCACTTCGAGATTGCTAGTACCATAGCATTTTCACTAAAGAATACACCATTTAAAACTAATTTCCTCTGGAGCTTGTACATATGTGAGTGCTTTTCAGAGATCTTAGAAAATACAGTAAACTCAATTCCCAAAAAGTAAACTTTAAGCCAAGTTTAATTCTACAAGGGACACTGACACAGACGCAATCGTTTGACTCATTTCTGCTTAGTGAGTCAATTTATTCAAATTGAAAATGAAATTAAGTACGGAAAAGTTACCGAACTTTAATTTGTACAGCTCATTACTCTTCTTTTTGACCCAACACATACCGATAGCCATACCAAATTAAATGTACATACCGGCCGGGGGAGGGGGAGGGGGGGG